TGCAAGAAACCAAAACCCTTAGGAACAGGGGTTGACACACACACACACTACTGGGTGCATAGACACGCAAAACTGCTGTTTTGTTGGGGTGAACTCTTCTTGACCGCAACATCTCGGCCAACATGTAAGCCCTTTGCGTGGGGATGTGAACTCTTTCCTAGCCAGGACTAAAGGGGAACATCTACAATTCATATGCATATAATATCACTACTGTATATATAATTGTTTGATTACCGAACTATACTGTATATGTTCTTTGAATTGGTGTCATCTCTGATGCTAAGGCTAAGCGAGTGGATGGTTTGCGCAGGGGTTGATTTGCAAATGGCAGATCCCAAAATGCGGAGCCAACATCCGATGGAATGGAACCTTGGTGTAGTTAAGAAGATATTGTTAGGGCCTTGTAGCTGCACATCGCTTCTATTTCTTTTAGCAGGGTTTCCTAGATCTATTCTTCTTTTGCCTGGAAACAGATGACTGTGGGTTGCCAAAAGTCTTGACACCGAGGTAGAACACTACTCAGCACAGATGAGATCTAGCTAGCCCATGGGTATAGATCCTGTGTGTTTGTCCTTGCGCGGACCGCACATGTCTAAATTATCAGTTGAATTATCCTGCTCATTACGTTTCTGCATTTTGCCCCATCCCTGAAAATTCGTCGCAAGGAGCTCCATTGGGCATTGAAGTGCAAGCCAATCCTTGTTGACATTTGTTGACGATTCAACGGCAATTCTCATCATCTGTAGTTCATCTGTAGTACAGTGTGTGTGTGTGTTGTTCTCTGTTGTGCTGAATCTTTGCCTTTTATTGTGTGTGTGTGTTTTTAAATGTTTTTGTCAGAAACACATTTTTTGGGGAGACTTGTCTTTTTTCTCTTCGTCGCCTCGTCGCCAAACCCAGGTCTGCTCCAACGGCTCGCGTCACAGGCGGTGGACGAATCGGTATGGACGAATCGTACGGACGTCGTGTGGACAGGGGGTGTGGTCTCCCAATACCTCCAATCTTGTTAACCTTGTTAATACCTCCCAATACCTCCAATCTGAAACCTTGTTAACCTTGTTGGTCCTGCGATGCAGCACCAGGCCCTGGTGAGCACGGTGGGACGCACGGTGATGTAGCTAATGTTTCGGGGAACAAAGTTCACAACCTAAGTTGAAGTGAGGTGCGGGTGCGGTCAAGTTGAAACTAAACCTCACTGTCCATCCCTACAACTGGCTCATTCCTCTACGCCTGAATCTCTCAGATCCTTTTGTTCGAGGTGGTGGAAGCCCTCGCCAATTACAAAAAGACATATGTTCCTTTTTTGGCTTTGGGGCGAGCCTGCCCAGCCTCCCCCCCCAAACCAAGGAAACAAATCAAAAGGCGTTCCGAGTGCTCTCGATGGCTTCTAGAATTTGCGAGCCTCCACTTCCAGACATAGTTTAGCAATGTCTAGAATGTATTGTTGAGATGGGTTGCAGACTTTAAATTGTCCTGCTATATTGTTTGAAGGGGGAGGCTATAACGCAAGGGGCAGTCGTTTTCCTCTCCAAGTAGGAGAAAACGAGGAGATTAATACGGTGCAGTATTTGGTGGTTGTCGTTGTTGTGTCCATTGGTTTTGTTTTTTGTTCGCTTGTTGTTCTTGATGTTTGGCTTTCCTTGTTGTGCTTCGTCCTGCATTTTCATCATCCCGTTTCATAATCCTCATCGCTGTCGTCGTCATAGCAGTCTTTGTGGTGCCTTGTGTTGTTAAAATTTATGAGCTTAGTAGGACGTATACATGTTTCAAGACATTAGTGGACATCACAAGAGATATATATATATATATAGATCTATATAGTAACTCGATTATAATCGATTTACTCTAAGATTGTCACCTGGTAGTTTTATGGACGTGTGCACACAAGTCCAAGTTGCTGTGGAGGCCTCGAGCTGAATATTCAACTGGATTCTCGGCAGTGATTCCGAACGGTGTTTTTCGAATGTGGTTTCGGTCCGTGAGGTGGTTGTATGCTAGGCTTCTCACTCGTTGTCACTTCACTCGTTGTCGTTCCATGTGCTTCGCCTTGGAAGTGCGAGGCCATTGGGGCCATTGTCGTTAGAGAACCAGGTGTCTCCCAGTCCTCTGAGGACTACAGAAATGTGCATCACGAAGTGGGCTTTTCTGGAGTGGTTTGTTATGTTCGAATCTCTGCAATCCAACTCTGGAATTCGGAGAACTACGTGAGTCTCCTGGCCCAAACTGGCACGCATTTTTCTTGACAGCAAGAAATTGATGTTCAGGTTGAGACGTGGAATTGGCAGCATTTGTGATATTCTGGTCTTTTCTGTACCTTTTGCTGTTCTCAAGCTGCAACCTCTGATTTTGACTTGTGTCGCGACCTATTCCACTCTTCGTATCCCTTAGCCTTACATTGGTCTAAAAGAAGCCTGATTGGTGAGATGATTCTCGCCCATTCTTGCGGCAATTTACAGTACTCTGCAGAAACCATGGCATGGCATGTTGGCACAAACACCTTTGGACACGTGAAAGCCTTCCACCAGCGTTGTTGAAACGATGGATGGCGTCACTTCTTCAAGAATTGAAAAGCTTCCCAGCACGAAACGAATGTAGTAGACTCACGTGAAACTTTTGAAGATCTAAGCGGAGCAGAGTCGCCTATTGAGTCCCCCCTAGCGGCCCATGAGTGAAAGCGTGCAGACGTCGTCCCATAGGACAGCATTCGAGGCCAAACATGGGGTTTAGATGGGTTTAGCTAATGCATGCCGATTAGAATTACGTTTGACGTTGATCCAATTGATCCCAAGATATCCCAGTCGTGTTTTGTTGAAATACCATGTGATTCTTGGCACATCTTGGGGCCCATCGGTTGAGGTTATGGGCAGCTCTTGGATGGAGGATGGTGTCTTGGACCGAACGAGAGCGGCCGCGATACCGGTCGTCCAGACCTTTGGACATCCGGACACTGAGGTCGTCCTACAGGTCGCGACACCAGAGGGGCGTGGAGGTGTGACAACCGATTTGTGGACCGGAATGGTGAAGTGGGTCTGTGGAGCATGTAGACTGACGCCTGTAGATGTGTTTACTGATGGTTACTGTATGTTCCTGTCAGATATTGTTCTCGGAGGCCATCGCTAGTAGGCTGGAGGCCATTCCTATTGGGTTGGAGGCCATTGCTATCAAGAAAGAACATCATTGCGACGCCTGTGGAGCATTTTGATCCGTTTTTTACCTCTCAGTTCGAGAGGTTCGCTTTCTGGTGGAGGGCCGTATCGACTTCATGGACTTCATCCGCCTCACCACAGCCATTTCGTCGCTCGTCGGAGACCATGAGTCATATGAGTCGAGCTCGGTCGAGGCGGTCGGTCGGTGTCGACGGACGCATCGGTGCTACGAAAAGGTCTGACAAAAAAGGAAGCAGTCCGATGCACGGAAGATGGAAGAAGTGTTTTGTTCTTTTTAGAACTGATCCCTGGAGGCTTTCTGTGGACTCTTGATGTTTAATGGTGTTTTAGTGTTTTCCATTCAAGATTACATTAGTTCAGGATGCAGCAGTTGGTTCATTTCGAGAAAACCGTCGCATCGCATCCAAGGAACGTGCTAACCATTATGTCAATTCCAGCTTGCACCTTAAATGGGAAAACTAGGAACAAGATGTGGACTGTGGAGAAGGCCCGTCAGGGCAACATGTGAAATTTGAATTTGTGATTTGCATTGATTTGCCAATTTGCCTGTGACATTCAGAAATCAAACTAATCGGTTAATTGCGATGGCCTCCATTTCTCCGTTTCTCCGTAAGACTCCGGCGCCGCAGCTTTCGCGGGGGACGCCATGTCCCTGGAAAATCACTACAGAGTGATCGAACCTAAGTCAGCACCACAAGAGAGGCTCGCCTTGAACTTGTGGATGTAGTCCTCAACTTTTCGAAAACGCGCCTCGTCCATCTGACAACTCAAGCAATGCGCCCAAGACACGGTGGTGCGTGAAGTGGGCCGCACATACTGCGTGGACAAGGGCAGTCCTTCGAGCTTATGAATCCGGATGAGAAAAAGCCGGAACCACTTAATCCTATCTTGCAACTCGAACGAGACGGCCTCCTCTCGCGAGAGCCATTGCCAAGAGCAGAAGTTGCGGCTGGGTCGAATCCCTCCGCTCCCTGAGTACAAAGCGAAATCAAGCAAAAGGTATAGCCAAGGAATGTGCACAACCGGGGCAGTGGGGGACTGCATGCTTCGGGACCACTCAGAAAGGCAATCCCATCCTTGGCCAGCACTAAGCTTGTGCGTGATCGTTTGTGGCCGCTGTGGGAGCGGGGGTATGGTCGGCTCAACCAAAATTTGCGGGAACGCTGTCTGGCGAGGATCATTGGCAGCAGCCGGCACGTCCGTGGTGACAGCGTCCTCGCTCACCTTGATCATGGTAGCATGGATTTGGTCTCTCAAGACTCGAGCGGCCTCAAACAGCTTGTGTCCAGGCGCGGGGGTAAATCGTGCTCCACTGGGCGCCATGGTCAGCGCAGTCACTGCCCTTGAAAGCCCAAAGGTCGACCCAATGCACATTGGCTCTGCATTGGTGGCTTCCCTTTTCTCTCTGAGGGTAAGACTGAACTACTACATCAGTGACCTGTGGTGTATGGGCTCCATGCAGCAAGGCAACATCAGAATGGTCAAAGCTGGTCGGTCCAGTCCCTCCTTTGCCTTTGCCTCGCGCAGAACGGCTGTGGACGGTTGGTTGCTGGGTATCGTAGGGTGCGCTTGCTGCAAGCACACCCTGCGGGGCAGAGCAAATAGCATGTGGATGCATGTGGGCTTCAACCGGGCATGCCTGGGCTGCGGGTCTACCGTGGGCGAAGGAAACATCGTTGTGTCCCAGCCTACTTGGCGTGGTGCATGAAGGGCTCATGGGACCATCTGTGAAACATTCGTCCGTTTCGACCCCCCCAGTTCCCTTCCCTCGAGCAGGAGCTGCAGTGACGCTGCGTTCATGGCCATCACAGTGATCCTGGGCGGGCGATCGACCAACGGATTGTGGAGTGCTCTTGCTCTTTCGCATTGGATTGGACATGGACCTGTTGGCAAAGAACTCCAATCTTCCAGTGGGCGAAATAGCTCGAGGCAGGTCAGGGTGGCTGTCTTCGGTATCTACGATCTTTCTTTTCTGCGGCCATCGATTGCTGGGCGGCTGGGCATGCCCAACAATTGCATCAACCGGTTCATGCAGGGATGGCTGTGCTTCATATGCGACCCCAAACTTAGCTAGTACAGCTGCCTGGAACAACGCAGACTCTTTGGAGTGAGTGAACGGCTAGCGCATGATGTGTCGGAGCTCCAAAGGCATTTCCAAAGGCCTGTACGACTTGGGTTACATGCCATAGTGCCTGAGCTGGCGAGGCCATCTGACCTAGTGTCGTGAGGTCGAGGCACCCAGGTTGGGGCCATTGGCTTGATGAAGGTGCTGTGTCGGTACCAAATGCAAAATGGCAACCTCGTCTGGATGGATGTGGCGCATATTGGCAATCTCTTGGCCTTGAACGGTGGTCATGCCGGGGGTTGGAGCCAAAGCCCCGTACAACCCTTTTTCCTCTATATAGTCGTTTGGGTGTAAAGCCCCCCGCCCTGCACCCACATGCACACGCCGTCAATTGTGAACCCCATGGCGCAAAGCCCCCCGCCCTCCTGGCTGTTCGGCAAATACTTCCAGCTCGAGCGCCGTCAGCTTCAGTTCCTGGGCCTGGACCTGTTCGTCCGGCCAAGTGGCAAGCTTCGGCATGAGGTGTCGAAACGAGGGCTTGAAATCCAGGCTTGGAAAACTCTTCAACTTGGCATGTTCACATAAGGATGTACAATGATTGCCCACCACCGTGTCCTTCTTGCTGGCCAGAAATCGTGCAGGTGACAGACCTGTTGCTGGAAGCCTTCAAAGCTCCGAGCCCGTGGATCCATCTGCTGTCTCTGATCTCCCAACTGAGAGAAAGGCTGGCAAGCAAATCCGCCTGTAAGGATGCAAGGCCTATCCATATATGGGAGCAGCTATACTTGGACAGAGGTGCTATCAATGTCACCTTCAATGGCATCTAAGCCAAGTGGCATATCGAGAGTTGATCTCAACATGACAGCGCACCTTGCAGTTGTGGTACCCCGCAGTCATGACTGCATAGCAAGAGCAAACATCGATGATGTCATTGACATTTTCACTATGTAGCAACTCATGGATTTGCACTTGCACAGATGCATTGCTGGCATCCAGAAAAGCCATACCTTGTTGAGTGGATTTGCAGGCATTGATGAGCGTGAACCGATCACCAGTCAGTCGAATACCTTGCAACAAAAACTGTTGTCCATGCAACACACAGTGGTAGGCATCCCTTTGTTGGTCAAAAAACCAAGCTCGTCCAGCAACTGTCACGGCGGAGCAGTCAGCACATGTGTCTGTCCATGGCTCGGGATTGAACCTAAGCGGACTGCCCCCCCGAGTCATTGGCGTGACCACGTGAACCAGCTGGGAGGACTCGGGCCGACACCTAGCGATGGCCTCCAACCTACTTTCCATCTCTGTTGTGAAATGCTTTCCGTCTCTGTGGACCGATATGAAAGGATGTGTCCCATCTCGTGTGGGACGGATCGGATCACGGTGGCATCGGATTCTCCTCGTCTCGTCCGAGGCGATTCTGGTGAGCCTGTTGGCTCTCTATGGCCTCGGGCCGTTGTCAAGCATTTATGCCGTCACTGGGATGTCAACCATCATGTATGGTTTTTTTATGTGTTTTTTTTTCAGGCTATATTTTTGAAACATGTGAAATCGACAGCTGCGCCCTCAAATGCAGCTCCAGTCAGGTCATACCAAGTGCAATAGAGCCAGCTACAGTATCGTATTGTCAGATCAAGACACAGACTTATACAATCAAAAATAAGTAAGTACCCAATCAATAAAAGTAATCACCCAATCAAAAAGTAGTTGCCTAATCAGCTAGTCCTGTGGTCCTTTAGTGCCCTGGTCTTTCACTGATGTTGCAAAATTCACCCGCCAGATGTTGTAAAAATACCGTTCATTGTCCTCCCATGAAACCTAGCTTTCATTGACAGGCATTCGTGGAACAAACCCAATAGGCATGGCACTCGTTTTTACAGGCGGAAAACGCGTCGCCTGTACACGCCGGCAACGACTCGCTTGTACATGTTGGAAGCCTTGGAGGCCTTCACCATAATAGCTGCACACCAGACTCCCAATTTTCCAAGGATGCTGTGGACATGACCACAGGAACCATGCCATTCCCAATTTTAGGGGAGGAAGGAGCCGGACGTAGCATACCTTTTGTGGGCCAACAGAAGGAGCAATGCCCTTTGTTGCTGGTAGCGTCCTTGTTCCTAGTAGTCAGGCCAGGAGCCCCTAATATCCTTGCTCCTAGTAGCGATGCCAGGAGCCCCTAGTAGCATTCTTGCTACTAGTAGCGATGCCAGGATGAAAGAGCCGTTCGAACGTAGCATACCTCTTGTGAGCCGTCCGAGTGTAAAATTTTGAGGAGGAAACGCTCTCCCCCCAACCCCCGTCCCGTGCCACGAAGTCTGCATATTGTACTTCTATTTGCTGGCCTGCAACGAAATCTGAGGTGTTAAGTAGAACCTTGTACCACCACCACCACCACCACCACCACTACTACTACTACTAGTAGTCCCAGTACGGAATCTTTTATTTGTTGATCGGTTAATTACTCATGTTCGATGCGTGGGAAATACGTGAAGTTTGATTTGTTAACCACTTTCGATGGCTCACCGTAGAAGTCAATGTGTTTTTTCAAGTTGTACGCGGCTCAGTGGGGGATGATTGTTTCATCCTGCCTTGACATGTAATAGTCATGATGCCCCTGCATAGCTTTGTTTCGCTCAGGCCATGACGCCACAAGAGCCAAAGACTGATCCAATCCACAACAGATCAAAACGAAATCCAGCAACTCTCCACAGCTCGCAGAGGCTGATTCTGAACAACATCATCAGACCCATCATTGCAAGAATATACCGTGGTTTCAGAGTAGGTGGCGCAGACCCCGAGATGTATTTTAGAGGGGGGTCATATCAACCACCAAATTTGGGGATTGTGCCATCTACTCTCAATCCACTATAGTTTATCCCGGAAAAATACTCCGCGGAGTTGAAACAGCTGATAAGGACGGCACAGATTTGCTGAGCAAAGGAATTGTGCCACCCGCGTAGGCTCCATTTGAGGGTGCGGGTTTGATATTGTAAGTTGTTGCAAGTGATTCTTGTTGTGACACTGCTCATTTGATGATATAACTTATACAATCTTATACCAACAGCTACAATCTACAAATCTCACCTGGCAGAAATTACCGCTGGAAGATTTCTTGCAAGTTCTAGGCAGCTGCCAACAGCAAAGTGAACGTTTGCGACGACACCAAGACCGCGGTCACACGGCTGATCACCAACGAGGCGTGAGGCTATGTGAGGCCCAGGGCTACGAAGAGTGGTGAGATGCCTGAGACTCTAGGGGTAAAGGTGGCAGTTTTTTGCCTCATGATTTATGATGCAATAGGCATGACTCGAACATATCGGAGTTGAAAAGCCTTCGCGAAAGATCCGCAATGGGGCCAGCGAAAGTATCACCTGTTTGCTCGCGAAGGATCTATCCAAGGTTCCCTTCCAGCATGCCAACTGTAGATATATATATATAGTTATATGATTATATATATATATATGTTCTTTCGGCAGATGAGTCGCGATGGGCCTGCCAAAGGTTCACGAAATCGCGGGAGAAGACATTTCGATAGGACACGAACCGAAGTCCAATCTATGTCACTCGGTTGTTAGTTCCCATTGTTTGCCCCCAGTCAGTTGGCATATTGTAGACTGGAGTGTCCAATCAGACATCCCAAGTCACTACAAAATCACGATTCGATGCTGGAATTCTTTGTGATGGTCCACAAGCACGACCCTGGCGCTACATGGATGGTGATGGCAGGGTGGTGACTCTTCCGTTGGTTTGGGGGGGCAATAGCCCAGGCTCATAACTTTGCTTGACTTGATGGGTTCGGGGTCGCTTCGGGTGTGATTCCTTCAGGCGGCCATGAAGTTGATTGAAGAAGGAATCACGAGAACACATGTGCGCCTCGGCATCCGTGTGTTTCTCCATGCCACAGACGCGTTCATTGTAGCCCAGCAGCAAGCAAGGCACGAGCAGCAAAGACAAGGATTTTAAGATTGTTCCAACAAATTAAATGCTCAGGAGAAACACATTCACTCGGGCTCTCACTCATTACATCGATCTGAAGCCTGCGAACAAGCACAACATGCACGAGGAGAAATGGAAAAGGCCTGGCGACTTCTGGGAGAAAGACAGCAAGGATTAAAAACGCTGAATTCTCACATCAGTTCAGCATCAGCTGCTAGTCTTCTTTTTCTGTGACCTCAGCTTCCTGTTGGAAAATAGGAACTGCTCTGCTCTCCGATTGGATTGAGAGGGTCTTCGTGTTTCATTGGACCGACAACGGGGCTTTGGAATCCGACAGGAAGTTGGAGAAGTTGGATCAAGCTGAAGGAACACTGCAAGATAAAGAGCTTGATCAGCTGGTGGAGTTTGTCATGCAGAGTATTAATCATCGGAAGAAAGGTCAGAGAGCCAGTCAGAGAGCCTTGGATTTTCAATTGCAGAGGGTAGCCAATGCAATATGTTTGAAGCCTTTTTCAATAACAACTGTAACTGCTGCTGAGCAGCTGTAGTATGTTCAATTAGAGCAACTTTTGAAGCTGCTGTTTGTAGCCCACGATCTCTTGTGATATTTGCTGTGAACACGTGCGTGATGCACTCTGCATGCATTGACAAAACTGTTGGACTCTGCAAAAACGGCCCCTTTATGCATGTTTTTGCTTCTTGCGTTTGAATCAGGCTCATTCACCTGTTTATGCAAGAATATCACACTACAATTTGAATCGATTTGAGACATAGGGAGAGTCCATTCTGGCCGGACATTTTCAGGCAACAGCAGGATTGACGTTGAGGCGGGTGAGGGCCAGGGCCAAACCAAATGCGGCCGAACCGACCCGAGTTCACCAATGAACCTGTGATTTCGTCTCGCCGCAGGAGTATTTAAAGCTGCATCTTCGAAATGACCCGGTTCAGCTTCCAGTTATTGCACCTTGACAACGATAACATAAACCCATGGCAGTCATCAGCGTGCTCGCCAAGAATCCACTGTTTGACTTGCTTTAGGAAGGGGCCCGAAGATGACTGCAAAGATCAAGGGCTTTCTAGAACAATTGATGGGTGGCGAGACCCGACACAAGTAACCAACTTGTCAGGCCAAGGAACAATACATTACAGCACCAAAACAGCCCATTGCCCATATTGTCCACTGCTTTCGAATGCCTAAGGTGCAACTATTTGACGACGATCGTGACAAAGGGATCCTAGAGAGAATCTTTCAAGATAGTGCCTGGGCGGTTTAGGATTGCCGATCTGTGCTGAGCCCGCCACTGAAACTTCACTGTTGGACTGAGGGCCGAAGACCTGCGAGGTGGGACCCCCCGTTCCATGGATTTCGAGCACATGGAACCGTGCAACCTTTGGAAGGGCGTTCTTTTTGGATCACTGCGTTTGACATGAAAAAGGAAACACATCGCGGTTCACCGCGGTCTAAAGATGTTGTGCCCTTTCTTTCGATCGATCCAGGTACAGTTTTTTCTTTGTGCAATTCGTTTCAACCCCTCCCAGTAAACCCACAAACAAAGAGGCCAACCGTATGTTGGTCATTCAGATCACACGAGTTGTTTGGAAAAAAACACGCAACACTCAGGCCATGCGTTCGATCTCCATCAAGAAGCAGTGCGCTGCAGCAACCAGGCTGCTTATAGCAACGGTTTTTTGGGATGTTTGGCAGCTTCTGATGTTGTTGGGAGAATCCCACCTTGTTATTGCTCCGTCAGCGGATGTGTGATCCGTTAGCTGATATGTTGGCCGAAGCTCAATTTTTGCGGACGTGTTTATTAGCCGGCTGCGTCTCAGTCTTTCCTCTTGTTCCTTGGTGTCATGCTCAATGCTCTTGCAGCCAGCTGTTGCTTTCTGAGCAGGGTGCCTCGCTGTTGCTCTTCCTGGAGCTTTGCGCTCCTGAGTCCATCGCAGCTTGCAGCACCTGTTGTTTCCAAAGCTAAAGCTAACATCCTGCAGTTGGAACACAGAACTTAAGCTTGTTCGCTTTCACGGACAGCAGACATTCTTTGACAGCGGTGCAGTCTCACCAGCAGAGGCCTAATTTTGTGTTCTGGCCAAGGAGACCAAGGACCACTGGAAGATGCACAGTTCTTTTTGAGGCTAGAAGATATGGCGTTCAAACCTCACACTCAGTGAGAACATCACAACTACCACTTGGTCAAACAAACCCACGGAGGTGTGGAGGTTCCACGGAATGATCCCTGTGCACATCAATTGCACGAATGTTCAATGCATCTCAATCCTGTTCAAATAGAAGGCTCTGTCATATGCTTCAGTTACTGCTAACTGCGGTCTTCAAGGAGATGGATCTGGCATTGGGCGGTCCTCACATGAACGCGAAGGTTGGGGATGTTGGAGTCCTTGCATTCCAGTCTTGCTCACTGCACGCGATGTGAAACAAGAATTTGCCAGCATTTGCACAGACTCCGAGATGTCCTTGTTCAGGCTGTGCTTGGTAGACCTATATAGCTAGCAACTGTTTAATTGGAGTTGAGTGCACCGTCACACGCGATGCACGCAATGTACCAACACAACCTAAATGTGGGCTCTCCTGAATTACTATTCAGGGGTGCATGTGACAGCCAGGAATATTTTTTTGGAATAATTTTCTCGAATGCTCATCAGGAGTAATTTGCTTGGGGTCCCTGTGCCAGGGGGGTGGGGGTCACCTCAGATTAATAATCATAACTAACCTCGACACTAAGGAACAATTTGAACATGAGATGTACCAGCGACCATGAAATAATTGTGCCAGAGATGTGCCAGTTACCATGGAATAATTTATACAAAGACTGGCCATGAGCTGCGTTGTGCCTGAGATGTGTGTGTGTGTATCCATGAGAGATACTGGCTCAATCAATCACACTTCAATTATGTATACATGAAGAAAAGGCCTTGACCTCCACCTCACAAGGGTTTCATGTATACAGGTAACACATCCTGTCAGGAGTGCATAGATCAAACTGCTTTGAGTGCAAGGCTCAAGTATAATACTCACACTTTCCAAGTCCACATCACTCGCATCGACTGTGAGTTAATTATTCCTGGGTACCTGGAGGTGGCAGGCACCCAGGAATAATTAGTATTGAGACCACATGGTGGAAAGGAAGGTGTTTTCAACAACTTCCAACAATCACTTTCAACATTTTCCAAAAACTTCCAACATCTCTTCAACAACTTCCAACAACAACTTCCAACATCCGAATTTACACTCGACACGACAGCTGAAATTTTCCTACTCTACCCCACTACCCTGGAATATTGATTGTTGGGTATGTACCCCTACCCCAGAATAAATGGTTTAATATTCCAGGGTGACCCCAACGTGGTCCCTCCCCATGGGAGCCCCCATCAACCTAACTACTACTCAGGCACTCGTTTTGGTCCTTTGGTTCTTTCGGAACGCTCTTTGGGTTTTCCATTGCGAAGCCAAGCGATGGAAGGTGTGCCTATCGCCATCGCACCAACGCCCGTTGTCCCAGAGACCACAGAGACCCTGCTTGAGGCCACAGAGACGTTTGCTGCGGCAGCTGTTTGTTGGAGCGTGATTTGGCATGTGTAAGAGCGCAAGATAGTCTCTCACGAACGCACACAGGAATCCCTGTGTTTTTTCAATGAGAAAGTCTAATCCCAACTGTTCCAGCAATGTCAAAAAGGCTTGAAGGTGGTATATAATTACCTTGTCTTGGTATGGGTGCTTTGCTTTTGGGGTGGTAGAGATACAAGACTTTGTTCCACAAGAAAGGGGGTGTTAATTGCATGCAGCAAAGGGACAGACTGTAAGCATGTAAAGAAACGTGAGGGACCACTAAAGGGAAAGAGGAGAATCCTGCTACATTCAATTCAATGGTGCATAAAACTGTGCAAATCTGCCAGCCAGAAACCACTACATGACTCCCTTCAATCCAAGGACGTTTTCTTTCCTTTTCCAAGAGCCTTGTGCGTCAGAAGCCTTCGCAATCAAGGATACTTTCAGGGAGAAGTTGCTCGTTTCTTAGAGGTTTCTCTTTTGTAGGCCCTCACCTCCCTTCGTGGGAATTGTGGAAGTGGAGCCCTGATTGCTGCAACTCAAGAAGAAACATGCAACTAATTAGTTGTCTTCGAAATTCCGAAGCGTTCTAGGAGGACATTCCGAAATGTTTGATGTTTGTGATACTTTAGGGATGTGAGGCCACAAGATGCCAACAGAATCATGCAAGAAACTCTTTCGAAAGGTACCTACGAGTCCTTTCAAGAGTCCTAAAGGGAGGAAGTAGATAGTATGTCCAATATAGCCTATTGTTACGACTAGTAATGCCAGGAGCTACTAGTAGCGTCCTTGCTACTAGCAGCGATGCACCTTGTTTATATGGCTCGACTCAAGCGGACATTGAAGCTCAGTGGTCAGTGGCGTATTTTGACATTGTTGACCGCGAGCAAGCTCGCCTGTGGGCTGGTCTACCCTTTTCCCAGACACTCTAGCACATCTAATTTCTGACAAGCACTGAATACATAGCCGAGACATCTAATTTCTAGTCTGGCTGCGAATGGGTGCAGATATTTTGCTCAGAGTGCCGGTGAGAATACGGAACTACAGACTCAGCCTGGTGCCACGAGGATTTGAAGGGAACGAACATTCTTCCGTGGATCTCGCGCGTCGTTCTCTTCACGGACCCTCGTTGTCCCGTGCGCGTCGTTGTCCCGTCGTGGTCCACCGGAGGCGACGCCACCAGCACGCCGACCTCGTGTTTGGCGTGCAGGGGACTGCTTCTCGGAGATGGGCCAGTTGCAGCGGTTCGATGATGGATTTGGGGGGGCAGATGTAAGCCACTTTGGGATTTGTAGGCAGGTTGCTCCTTAGGGAGGCAGATGAAGGTAGTGTATTCCATTCAAGTTGGAAACAGCTTGAAGAAACATTGAACAATTCAGTCTTCTCAGGTGCTAAACTGCTGGCGCAGCGAGATCAAGAGTGAAGGTGTCTTTATGTCTCGGCGATTTGACCAAAGCTTGTCAATCTGCCAAAAAATGGGATTCAGGATGATTCAGGGCATTTCAGGGCTTCTTGGACCAACAGGACTCCTTCGTCCAGAAAACCATCCCGACGACGGTCTGGAGAACAGCACCTGCATCCCATGTTAATGAACATCAACTCAACGGGTCTGGGTACTTCGTGTCTCAGTGTCTCCTCAACGGGTCAGGCCGAAGTTCATTTGATTTAGCTTTTGACCTAGACTCAAACTTGGGAACCGTGTGTAACAGTACATAGTACTTCGCCGAAGGCGAGAAATCATTTGCGTTGAATGCATAGCTGGGAGAGAGGGCCGCCTTGGCCAAAGCACTCTTGTTCAAGATGCCGGACATGTTGCCAGTTTCAAGTCAATGGCCGATGGCCGCATTGGCGGAGTTTCTCACGTTTCTGGTTTGGCCTATGAGTTTACAAGCAGGCATGCCTTTGTCTAAATATATATATAGTTATATATACATACACGTGATGCCTTACTCCCCATCATATGCAGCCTGAAGCTTTGCTTGGAGTCTGGAGTCTTTAAGTATGTGCCGAAAGTGACATGCATCAATCCGACTGAATCTACAGGATGGCAACACGAGTGGAATCTAGTTTGAAGTCTTTTTGAGCAGAAGCAATGAACAGAATATGCAAGCCTAGAAGGATTCACCGACAAGGAAGACGTGGAGAATTACATGTTTACATTGACGTTCCCGAGCTTTCTGACCTGCCTGTGCCATGGTTGGCTCAGCTTTCCCTTTATTGCCTTTGGCACTCGGGGGCCTGGCTTTCAATGTCGAAAGAAGACATCTGAGGCCGGAGCACTTCAATCTTTAGGAAATCAACGTTCCAAAGAGCCATGTGGCTTATGCCGTCCCCTGAAATGCGCAACCATGCGAAACCCGAGCCTTGCAGTCTCGTTGTTAGATTTAACATTGGTCCAAAAGGCACCTTGCTACGTTCGTAGCTTCTTGTTACTAGTAATTCCAGGAGCTATATACTAGTAGCGATGCCCTTGTTACCTTGTTACTTGTGACTAGTAGCTTCTAGCTTTCTAGCTATAGCAGCTACTGTTCGAACAGGAAGACCACCTGTGAAGCGAAGCCTGTGGTGGTGCTGGGTGGCGGCGTCATGGGACGCTCCACGGCCTGGAGCCTCTGCCGCAGTGGAAACCATGTCACTTGGTCCAACCTTGGTCCATCCTCTACACATTCAGATTCAAATACACTATAAACATGCCGATCAATTGACACTAGTCACTTGACACTAGTCTAGACACTTATCAATGGGACACGACACGAAGTGTGATTTTTCCTAGTGCCGATCAATTGACACTATCAAAAGGCTATTCAAATAACAAAGGACACGTTTGGATGCTTTTGGGATATTGTTCATGCTTCCGACATGACTTTATCACTCGACAAGAACGTTTAACTTTGCCTTTGAATTGAAACGGCTTTTGACGTTATCCTTGGCCTTGGGTTGTTTCAGGTGGTGCTTTTGGACGGTGGTCATGCAGAGAAGGGCAGTTGGGGAGAGTCCCGAATCGCGCGATTGAGCTATGCCGATCCTGTCATGGTGCGGCTTGCCCGCCGTTCCTACGAGCTTTATGGCACTCTCAGCCAAAAGGCATCGCAGCCCATCATGTGACCGGTCTTGAGAGCAGACAACAGCTTGCCCATCAAGTGAACTCTTTTTCAACTTGCCTTTCAGAAGTTCACTTTGAAACTGTAAACGGTTCTTTCCGCAGCCAGCATACATGTCTGCAAGCCTCGGCCAAGGTACAAGACAGGTTGTCTGGACGTGAGCTGTCGTAAGGACTTGTTGGACAATTTGGCCAAGACATATGAAGATTTGGGGCAACCATATGAACGATTGAACCACAAGCAGGCGGGTTTGGGATCCCGCACGCGGGTCTTGCATCCAGTGATCTCCAGTCTTTGACCCTATCCAGGTGGAGCAGCGCTGGCCAGTGCTACAGCTAACAACCGACTATGTGCAGGCGCAAGCCATAAGGATAGATCGACTCCGTGCAGCAGTCATATGATAGATCAGTGAGAAATAGATGACAATAGTATAATATCATACACTTCATGCCCAAACCCTATAGATTTGTAGGGTCGATGGAAAAACCTAGGGTTTGTGAAGGAAACCTGACGTTTTCCAAACCAGTACTAAAATGCGGGTTACATATGGGTTTAATACGGGTTAAGTATGGGTTTAGGATGGGTTAGAAAAACAAGACCCAAGGCTTTAAGAACCATCCCAGGGTATTGTTGATTGCACCAAAATACCCGAGGTTTCGATTGAAACCCTACAAACTAATAGGGTTTGGGCGCGTAGGGTATATACATGTGGCGGAACCCGACCAGTGCGAAACAAGATTCGAAACCACCTTTGGGGTCGACTCAGTCGACTCCCCAACATCCTTGAACAGCACTTCATTTCCTATGCACACACATCGCTGTTCAGAAGCGCCTTCTGTGCTTCTGACAGCCACTGAGTTTCTGCCCCCCGAGACAGCCACAGGGCACATGGATGTCTCCGGTTTTGTGGGACTTTAGTCATCCTCTCCCCTTTCGTCTCGCGTGTATCGGATTGTATCCGTCTCATTTGTCTCGAAGGCATCCGTCTATTGCCCCGAGGGCGATGCAGTGGCTCTGGGAGTAGTGATGGAGACTCTGAAGGCACGTCGTTGGATGTGTTTTTTTGTTTTTGCCCACGTCGTTGGATGTGTTTTCACGTCGTGTTTTATTTGTTGAGTCGAAGATTGCAAGCTGCTGAATTGATCGAGAAGAGTCCTCTCCCACCTGTTGATTTCAACAGTCGCGGGTCATATGAGTGACAGGATCAGATTCACACTCTTGCTGGGCCCGCTGCTTACATCGACGAGTCGGTTGTGAGTATTGACCGGCAAAAGAAGACGGTGACCACAGAGGATGGCACCGTCATCTCCTATTCGAAACTGGTCTTAGCTGTGACCAGGCTTTCCATAACTTCATTGTTGTGTCCTGTCCAGTGTTCTCAATGTGCATTGCGCGACCAGTGATTGACCTGCATGGCACGGTCTGTGGACTGGAACTTCTAGACGTCGACGTCCATGTGGACTGTTGAGCTAAATGTGGATGTCCATTCCGAGATCTGTATGCTCAAGCGTTGCTCTAAGCAAAGTGGGGAGGCAACTTCAGGAAACAATGTGGCGCCGGCGGTAATTTGGGGCTCAGCCAAGATAGAATCACAAATCTCGGGCAACAGACTAATTAAGCGCTGGCTGTGCTCCTTTGGAGTGAGGACAAGACAGATTTTTGACACTTTCTTGGTTCCCAGCACGGCTCAAAGCAAAGGGACGTTTCTGACATCCTTCATGTGAGGAATCATGCAAACCAGACAATCACATTTCAAGTACATCTATGGAAGGTTCTTTGATTTCCAAATCTAAGGCTGGCATTTGGACCAACGGTCTCTTGCAAAAGATGAATCTGTCCTTGTTGCCCTTGGTAGCTACCATCGAGCAAAACACATACTATGCTCCATCAAAAGGTGGGCCTTCTGCCTCGCCGTTGGCGGTGGTGGTTTGTTTTACTCCCAAGTTTAGGTTTGGGACTCTTGTGTACTGTTGCATGTAGCTTTTTTTCGACCCAACCATGCAGGAGTTGTTTCAATTGAATAAAATCCACAAACATGGTTTCCCGGGCCTTGGCGGCCGCTTGGAGGTCGGGAGCCGCTTTATGGCATCAGCGCAATGCCAGTGGTAAAAGAACACATGCCACCCCCAAATGGGATGAAGAAATTTGGAGGCTACATGATCCCACACATGCCCAACGGAGCAACTCGGCCGCAAAAGCATTGAACCAGCTGTTGTGATCTGTTTCTGAAGCTTTTTTGTAGAAAAATGACTCTCGTAAGCACTTGTTTGAACATGACTCTCAAATCAATTCCTGGTGGTGCATCGTGACTCACGGGCTGTTTGGGAATCTTCCTGGGTTCGGAGCTTCGGACTCCCTCCGCTTTGGGACGTGTCGAGTCGACTGACTAGACATGACGTGTCATGAATCCAGACAAACCATCATCAATCCTAAAATCCTAAAAGATCCTAAAAGACAATAGCAGGCACAAATACAAAGGAAGCCAGGCCCTCACAAAGCAGCGTTTTTGCGAAGAAAGCTCAGAGACTCACTGCAAATCCGGCAAGCGGGCTTCAAGTTGCAACACCAACAAATCATTAACGGAAGGAAGCAGGAAGCAGCTGTCGTTGAGCGCTCGATGTGCTCCTGACATGGCCGACAATCCCTTGCTCGCACTGCGATGTTTGCCGCAATGCTGCGGGCTGATGCGGGCTGCATTCCGACAATAACGCTTAACGTGTTCTGCAAAACAGACACCTTGTCTTTCATCAAGATTTAGGGTTTATGAAGGAAAACATCCAAAGGAAAAGATGGACAAGTGGGAGTTTGCTTTCCATGTGCTTGCCGGTTTGCTTTTGCAAAGTAAGATGCTCCAAGGTTGAGGGTGTCAAATTTGGAATGCATCGACAAGGCCCTGTACTGGAGCACGAGGTCTGAAGGGGATTCAGGTGATTTTCTGGTTTAAAAAAGTAATGATGTTGAACATCTCTGATTCTGTGTCGTTTGGTTTTCCATATGTTTTCCAATTCTGGGTCAATGCAGGCCATCCATAGCTTCACCTATATTGTGATGCGCCAGGACTTCCCGGTTCTACCTGGATCTGCAGCAGCGGTGGAGCGGCACTTTCGTTCCGCGCAGACGAGGGGCCGAGACCTTTGGTGCAGGAGGCAGGAGCCACGTTCGCTGCACCCAGCCACGAGCCCCGTTCGCCCCGGGCCACATTCCGAGGGAGAAATCGCGGGTAGCCTACCTCCACTTCCGAATGGACGCGAGAGACAGAGTCCAATGAAGTCAAACGATCATTTGTATAATGATTTAGCACTCCAGCTTGTCCTTTAAGGAGGTCCACAGCTCTTGTTGGAGTGAAACCGGTGGAAGCGCAGGTTCCACTGATTCCACTGTCAAATGGGCTGAAAGGTATCAAAATGATTCAAAATGAACATTTACAAACTGACGTTGCCCAAGTCCTTTACTGATCGAATCTTATCGAGCACGTCCACTCTCCGAAGCTGGCCTGAGCAGTGTCAAGCAGGTGGCCTGAAGACGAAGATTCTTATTTGCGCTCTGAAACTGACGCCTACTGCAAGCGCATTTTGCCATCATTGCAAGTTCATCGATCTGAGCTCACCATGCGTTGTCCATATGACCAACATCTATATGCAGATGAGGACCACAACCAAAGGTTGCCAGATGTGTGTTGGCTTTGAGGACCACAATCCTCGGTCCTTTGGACTGTGAAGTGGTTGATTTTGCTTGTGCAGAGTTCACAGGTGAAATGATTGCTTTGCTTGACAGGATTTTGTTGTTGGCTTTCACCCAGACGACCCCGACGTGGTTGTAGCACCTTTGCCACAATCAGAGATCAGCAGTGATTGGCCCGACCACTTGCTGTTGACTGGACTAGTTAGATCGTTTGAGCATTTTTGATCAGTTACCAGGGCATCAACATCCATTTTGTGCTTGAGTGGTAATTCACCGATGATATCATCCATGTTTGAGGTTTTTCGAAATGAAGATGTTCATTATCTTTGTCCTGAGGTGGCTGGCTTTGCAGGAGAAGGCTTCAAATTTGCTCCCGCTATCGGCGAGATGGCGTCCTCGTTGATTACAGGCCAAACCTTCGCTGTGCCTGAACTTATCCATCGATTCCGCTTGAACCGTCCGAATTACTTAAAATAATTGACAATATATATATAAATATGCTGAAATCCTGTCTGAGGCGCTGTGGGAGGAAGTTTCAAACATACAAGCGATAGGAATGTTGTGTGCGCTCTGTGTGTGTGTGTGTCACACTGTTTCTAAGAACTCTTGGTTTTTGCAAAGCAGGGGGCCATCCCCCTCCCTAGTGGCGGATGGCCAACGAAGAGGCCACTGGGGAGGGCTGCAAACGTACCTGCTGAACTGTTGCACAAGATGTTTCTCCTTTTGGTTTGCTTCTCATGGTAGTTCTCATGCTATTCTTTTTAACCTTCTCCTTTTTATCTACTAAGATTTAGTAAAATGCTAAAGCGTCAACATTATTATTTGTTAGTTAAGCCGACTTTGTGCCTTTCCGCTCCCATATCTATTTTGTTGTGGATTATGGAAACTAAAAACCCTATAAAATTGCAAATCCTGGGATTAAATATGCATTATTATATTTTTTATTGGATACACAATATAATCTTTTCGTAAAATATTATAAAATTTAAATTGGTTATGATGTATTTGTTTTTTATTTATGAATTAATTGAATAAATTGATGGATTATATGCCGCTTGGTTTATGGATAATAAATTGATATTTCCATTCTTTTTCTTTTAATTAGGATAATAGAAGGAAATGATATTCGATATATTTGTGTATTGGTGGTTATTTTTTTGATTTTTTATATAAATTTATTTAATTTGAATAATTTAAATTTTAATTTATATTTTTTAGTTATTATATGTAAATAATATTTATTAATAATTTAATTTTTATATATATGAATATATATATATATAATATGTTTTTTTTGTATTTTTTTAAGGTTTAATAGGTGTTTTTTTTCGGATTTGGTTTTTGTATTAGAGGTTATTTGGATTTGTAAGGATTTTAAAAGGGATTAATATTTAAGAAATATTTTGTATTTTTATTTGGTGATTTTTTAAATATTTAATTATGATTATATTTAATGTATATTTAATAAATTGCATTAGGATAAAAATTGATTTGGAGATATATATTCCGTAATAAATATGGTAAAATATATAGTGGCTAAATTGATTTTTTTTTGTACTAATTAGGTAGGTCGTTTTATTTGCTTTAGGTGGGGAATATAGGTTAAGAATATTTTAAAATTATTTTAAATAGGTATTTTTCCTGCTAAAGCCTTTTATTCCCTTACGCGCCTCCGGCGCGTATAAGTAGTAATTGGTTTTTATACGATTAAATATTAATAAAATTATATTTATATCTATCGTATTTCGGAAAAAAAACATCTTACGAATTATATGGTTTAAAATTATTAATATATATTTACGACATATAATACCCATTATAACGAAATTAAAAATTAATATATACTATATTAATAATTGTATATTTTATTATTTAATTAATTAAATATGGATTATTATATTTTTTTATTAGACACATAATATAATCCGTTCGTAAGATATTATATATTCTAAATTGATTATGATTTATTTGCTCTATTTTATCTATAAATTAATTGAACGGACTTATGGATTATATATCGCTTGGCTTACGAAGAATAGATTTCCATTTCTATTTCTTTTCTTTTAATTAGGGTAATAGAAGGAAATAATATTCGATATATTTGTGTATTGGTAGCTATCTTTTTGTTATTTTTATATTAATTTATTTAATCCGGACGATTTAAATTTTAAATTATATTTTCTAGCTATTATATTATATATAAATTATATTTACTAAATATTTACGACGTCCAATATTATATTTTATTATTTATTAATTTAAATATATTTTATTAAAAGATTTATAAATATTTAATTAATTAAATATAGATCGTTATATTTTCCTATTGGATATTTAATATAATCCTTTCGTAAGATATTATAAAATTTAAATTGATTGGGATTTATTTGTTTTATTTTATCTATGAATTAATTGAACGGACTTATGGATTATATGTCGCTTGGCTTATAAAAAATAAATCTCTATTTCCGTTTCCTTTCTTTTAATTAGGGTAATAAAAGGAAATTATATTCGATATATTTGTGGTTAATGGTTATTTTTTTGTTCTTTTTATTTTAATTTATTTAATTCGAATTAATCCGGACGATTTAGATTATATTTTCTAATTATTATATATAAATAATATTTATAAAATAATCAAATAATATGTTGTTTTTTGTATTTCTTTTAGACTTAATAGATTTTTTTTTCGGATTTGGTTTTTGGATTAAAAATTATTTAGATTTATAATAATATTTTTTTAAAATAGAAATTAATAATTAAAAAATAAAATTTAATATTTATTTTAAATGATTTTTTAAATATTTAATTAGGGTTATTTTTAATGTATATTTAATAAATTATATTAAAATAAATATTTTTTTGGAGATATATATTTCGTAAAAAATATAATTAAATATCTATTTCGACAATATATAATAGTTAAATTAATTTTTTTGTACCAATTAAATAGGGCGTTTTATTTACCTTAGGTAGGAAATATAAGTTAAAAATATATTAAAATCATCCTAAATTATTATACAAAAATAAACCAATTTATGTCTATATCTATCGAAAATTATTCCAATACCCATTATAACGAAATCAAATTAATATATATTATATCAATAATTGTAAATATTATTATTTAATAAATAAAATATATTTCATTAAAAAATTCACAAATTTTCAATTAATTATATGTATAAATTCGAAATAAAAATCTTATAAATAATAAATTTTTAATATAATCTTTATTCTAAATAATCAATATAATGCAAAAAAAATATACAAATTTATTTCTATTTGTTAATCAATTTTCCTCAATTAATTTAATATACAAATATATATATATAATCTTTTAAATAAATTATATCATAAACAACATTTTTGTAAATGTAACCTAAATCCATCAATACCCATAATCCATGCCTTATACATTTCCGCAATAAAATAATTAATCGAATAAATTTAAATCTTTCAAATCCATATCGCCTAAATTTAAAATCAAATTTACAAACCAATTATAAACAAGAATAAAAAAATAACAATTAAAAAAAAACGCCTAACGCGCCCGACACTCCCTTTCTTAATCTACAAATAACGCTTATAAATTATGTTTAAATATATCAAAAAATATATTTATATAACATAAATATAAATACATTTTTTTCTATTACAATAATTCAACAATTTATATATTATTAATATAGATATTTTTTTCTTTAAATCAATTTATTGTCTTCGTGGTAAATTGTCTGCCTTTCGCCTGGACATAATAATCTTCATTATCGATATATATATACGGTGAATTCCCATTCATTTGATATTATTCTACACGCACAATGTGTACATAATCCTTCATCCTCCGGATATTGTTTCAAGATATTTAAATCGATTCTAGTTTCTATATTTGCCAAGTGTTTGTATGTTGAAATGGAGATATGAGATGATATGAGGGCGCAATTTCTCCCTTCTGCAATATTCCAAGGTGTTTCGCTTGCGGTCACCGATTGGTTGTTCGCCCAGTAACCAAGGAATCAAGCAGCAAACACCAGGGCGCCAGCTGAGCCGATTTTAGTCCATTTCAGCAGCATTCTGAGTATCAGAGTATGCTACGAATGATGAGTTGGTTCGGAAGCTCCTACGCACCCGACACCCCGACTTCTCCTAGCAACACCATCGACACATTGTCTGTGTCCATTTTTCTGGTGCTGAATTTACTGGCGATCTGGCTGCCGAGAAAGCCAAGGGCATCGTACATCCTACAACCAACCTTCATCAGTCAGAGTCTGGAGCCAACTCCTAAGCAGCCTTTGAAATGTCACGACAAGGCAGTGATGATCAGTGATGTCAAGAGTATCCTGACTCACCTGCCATGTGTCCTTCATTGTGTCCTTCAGTACCTGTGAAGACTCGGTCACACCTGAGCTGCAATATGGAATATGGAAGAAGTCGTGCGAAAAAAAGGATCAAATCAAGCAGTGCAATACAAGACATATCAAGACATTAACCATTATTTGATATTATGTGTATATCATTTCTGAGGAAACATCGTCTGAAACATACTCACGCTAGCGTTCACAGCCCGGCACCAAACGGCTAGCTGTTTACACTTCCACACCTCTGTTCGTTGCATAAGCTGTCTGGCCCAAGCACAGCTGGCTGTCGCAGCCGCAGCTCTCCCTCACTTGGCCAAGCACTAGGGGCCTTCGAAGATGGTGAACACAAAAACACCCAAGCTTGGCCAAGTGATGTGATGAAACGCTTGGCCAAGTGATGAACACAAAAACACCATTTGATGGAATGTACCCAAAATTATGAATGATACAGTAGAGATTTAGTGACATGGTTCACCTGTCCCTGACGCTTGTCATCCTTGAATCATTGCTTCATTGAAAGCTGTTGACAAACCTTTTGACTGGGCCCTATATATAATTAATCAGCATTCAAGACACGCCTGCGCTCTTCCCCATGTTGAAACGGCCTGACCAAAGGACGAATTGTGCTTCACCTCAGTTCCTTCATGCGCCTGTTATAAAGTATATAGCAAGAGCTGCTTGTTTGCATAGTCTTAGGTTGGAGGCCATCTCTAGCAGGTTTTCCTAGGCTCAGTGACCCAGTGCAAGACTTCTAAGCATCCAAAATCCGAAGTCTTGGATGTCCAGGTGTCCCTCGTAGAGACATGACGTGTAAAAGATACAAACCATTTCGGGTCCTGCCTGATCTCCAGCAGCTGCACTCGATCAAGGGTCCCTTGGGGGATCCTTCCAATCTTTCCAAGTTCATGGGGATTTCCAGGCATCACCTGCTGCATCAACCCTTTCCAAACTGAGCTGTGTCAATGAGACTTTCTCCGACTTTCTCCGAACAAAGTCTTGCAGAAGCCAGTCGCATTCTCAAAGGTCGGTGGGCGGAATGTCGCGGAAGAGGAGGCGGCGGACGGAAAATTAGACGTCTTAGGTTAAATTTGCTGTTTTCATGTTTTAGTGCCAAAATCTTTGGAGCAAACATCTCTCAATTTGCACTCTTCTTTCTCTCGGAATTCTTGAAATCTCCTTGCACATTTTTCCTGAAAAGTCACGCTGAACACACTACGAGTACCTCCGCCAAGCACAGCCACTTCGCCAGCAAACCCACCACAACCCGCACACACACACAGCCATTCGCCCTCATTAGTCCATTCCATGTTTCAGTACGATTTGTACCTCTGCTCCATTCAGTTCTGCTCCCTTGGATAAGTCTCCACTGCAAACTGTTCACTCTGATAAACCCGCTGCACTTCTGTGGCAAAGCATTTGAGCTTCACATGTTACTGTTCAACGTCCCCAGCCTTAGCTAAAAAACCTTGGCGTGCTAGCGCTTGACACATCTCGTCCTTGGCTAAGCTGGACCAATGCCTGGCTGCCTGGAGTAGAAATCCATGATAATGATAATCAGTCTACATTTCATCCTCCAAGAAAAAGACCGGCGTCAATCATTAACCGCACCAGTCTTCCTACTAGCCTTTCCTCTCCAGTGACCAAAGAAGGTGCAAATGATCCCTTTAACTGTAGTTTACTGAGCCGTGTTAGCCTGCAGGAACATGGACTTTGGGTCCAACGGTGACGGTGGAGCAGAAAAACACACATAATCACAAGTAAACACATGTCTTTAAAGGGCTTTATCTGGACGTCAAACACAATATGGTTGTGAGTGTCCATTCATTGTGAGTGTCTATCACGAGCGCATCCAAGGAGCATCAAGCTTGGGGAATCTGGGGAAGTGAGCATAAATCATTCGGGAGGCAACTCTCTTGCCATCTTTCTCCTGTCAAAACAGCAGTGAAGCAGTCCTAAGTAGATTCCTTTGCTAGTAATTGCAATTCTAATTAAGTTCTTTTTGTTACTACTAGTAAGGCACTTGTTACTAGTAGCTTCCTATCGCCCTTTTGAACACCATGGGTTCCTTGGGGACATGTGCGGACCAACTGCGACCATGGGTTCTTCTTCAACGTCTTCTTCTTCAACTGAGAAGAAGTGGATTTTCGAAAACGTGCGTTTCTGCATGCTTGTCCCATCACGGCCCACCTGCAGGAGCGCAGTTACAGCTATGATGAAGGGCTCAACAGCCGCGAAAGAGTACACCAAGTCAGCACCAATCCTTGAATCCCCGACGTCTCAGCGCCAATCCTACATGTTTAGTCGAAGCGTAGGAGGATACTTGGATGATGTCTAAGTACAATGAGCATTTAAATAAAAGATTCAACCTATATCATACGCAGCCTATATCTTTGCGACATCACTTCTACGAGCAACACTTGACTTAAATACGGTCTGGAGCTATCCACATATCAAACCTTGGCCGCAGTCTCAAGGTAAGCTTGTCAAGTGTCACCAAGTCGAAGGTTTGCCTGCCAGCGAAAAGTTAAAAATCAAAGGCCGCGGCCGCATTCCTGTCAATCAGTCTTTGGATATCTGAGATTGTCTGCAAGTAACAGAGATCCCCCCTCTCGGATTGCTTTGCATCACAGAACACGATGCATCAAGCTTGGCAGTCACGTGCAACTGGCACTCCAAATTAATCAACAAGAAAAACACATTCCAAAAAGGGTTGTATTTAGAGTGACCTGTGGTCGATGTTTTAAGTACAACCGACGACTCTTCCCACTCACTGGACAAAAAGTCCGGAACACCGGCCAAAAGGCCCGAAATCCAATCAAAACTAAAAAACATTAATTTGCCTTAGCAGTCCCATCATCAAACCCCGGAGCAATCTCATGTTGTTTTGGTGACAAACCCCACTGTTACTTGCAGGTCTCAGCTTCATGCTAGTCTATGCTTCTACGAAAGCCTCTTGTAGTGCCAACAAAAAACAAGGTTCCAAACAGATTTCAATTAACAGGCAAACTTGGCATTACTGGAACCCAAAAGATAGACAGTCATGCAAACAACGGGAACGGTCACATCAAAATGAGACTACGACCCAGGGAATTGCCAAACAGCAGACTACTTATCAAGGTTGTTCGCTGCTCACAGTATTGAAGTTTCACTGAGCAGTGATTATACAGGTCTATTGGGTCTTCCCAGGCTGACTCCAAAGATGGGTTGTCACAACCAGTCCGCGGAAAGAGCATATAACATGCTACTAGTGGCACCGGTCAACCAACATTTAACGGAAGTGAGTTGCCATCGCTTTCTATAGCATGCCAGGAATCCGCCGACCCTCTGCCACGTGCAGAGGTGAAGCGTGTCTTTTGGAAGGTTGCTTGTTAAGATTGTTTGTGCAACTTTTCATCTTGTGCTTAGAATCTTCCTTAGCGCGGATTTTTCGTTTCGCTGACTTCACCCCCCCCCCACCACCCTCCCACTTTGCACGTTGTTGTTTTCGTCGCTGCGCATTGCGTTAGTCGTCGTCGTCGTCGTCGTTCTGCGCGCGCGTCGCCTGTGCTTTGCCTGCGTTTCACAGCGTTTGGCCGTGGCTTTCACAGCATTTTGCCTACGGTTTGCACCAACCACCATGTACACCCAACCACGGTTTACACCAACCACGGTTTACACCAAACCACGGTTTACACCAAATACCAAACCACCGCTTACCACCGTTTACACCAAGCCACCGTTTACACCAACCACTGTTTATACCAGCCACCCTTTACGCCACACCAAGATATACACCAACCACCGTTTGGCGGACCTGGCCGAAGGCCAATAAATATATTAATATATAAGTTGCACATTCTGCAAGGAACAATTGACTTAAAATCATAATGTGTCTTTTAGCTACTGCGCCCAAGAGAACTTGACATACATCTTATCAAGGTCGGGTTATCCGTCCTAAACGGCGAGTCCTAAACGAGCCTTGCTGAGAGGAGAAGCAACAGTTTGTATCAGGCGGCGTCCGAACATTTACCGCGTTCAGCTACCTTCAATATGTTTTCATCTCTCTCTCACTCTCTCTCGCTCTCTATTTAGTTGGAGGCCATTGCTTCTAGGTTGGAGAACATCGCTTCTAGGTTGGATGCCATGGTAAGTAGGTTGGAGGCCGTCTCTTTTAGCCTCACTCTCTCTCTCTCTCTCGCGCGCGCTCTCTCTCTCGCGCGCTCTCTCTCTCTCTCTCTCAGGAGCGCCAATGGATTTTGAAGGCTCTGCCTTAGGATCTCTTCTGGTGGTGTCAACCAGTCGAAGACACCAATCTGCACTGCGCCGCCGCTGGAGAGCAAAAGGTGGTGGTTGAGCTCTGCATTGAGACTTGGTACAAACAACAATGACAATGACACGCAATGATCACAAGCCAAAGAAAATGGGAAAAGTCTCTTCACAAGGCATAGGGATGCCTTTGGTATACAGTACAAAGTTTTTCAATAACTTTGACTTTGACATTCCATGACCAAAGTCATTCTAGATGAAAGGATCCGTTTGGATCTACAAATCAACGAACACCGACTATGAAAGGATCCGTTTGGATCTACAAATCAACGAACACCGACTAAAACATGGGTCAAGTTGAACTAGAGGTCAACATCACTCGGAAAGCGCCTTTTTACAATGCCGAATGCTTCCAGCGGCTGCTATCATTATGGATCCCTATATATGGTCAAGGAACATTCAAAGAGAATCATCCGAGTCACGAAACGTTGCAGTGAGCGCCTGCGTGGTTGTGTGAACAAAAAAAGGAACTATATATAATATATATATATAAGGTCGTCAGGGCGCAGAACGGTACTGTGAACCAGCGACGCGTGCCCTGGCAGGGTGCGCGAGACAATGGCTACGGTCCTGGTGGCGGATGAAATCGGGTTAAGGTTTCAGCGAGATCCCAACGATCGGGTGATTTTGTAGAACAAAGGTAGTGCAAATACATTATAGAATGGCCAAAGTAGGTTCTGAAAGCACCGTGCTCAGAACAGGCAAGTTAGCAGTACAAATGTACTACTCAGGCAACTCCGCTTTGGGAACTGGCGAGATTGTAGCGTAGCTTTTGGCAGCTTCGGGATCAAAAATGGTGACTCTGTAGTACAAATGAACAAATGTAGTGCGGGAAGTTGCTTATGGCAGCAGAAAAGGGATGGCTTGTAGCATAAATTGGAAGTATTCACTCACTCCCTCCTTTCCTCACTTACTCACTTCTCACGCACATAGCTCTATGCTTGAGGGTATGCTGGGCGCTTGGTTTTGAGACATGACATGTCAAGATATCCTTTCAGAAATGCAACATATTGTGCTCACGAGCCATGCGCCGCAACATACATGAGAACTGAGCGTCTCTTTGCTGAGAGCTCATTGTTCTGATTTCCAAAATCCAGATAGCAGCTTCTCTTTTCAAACTTTGATACTCAGAAAATGCTCGATTCATGTGTGATAAAAACTGATGGAGTGTTTGTGTGTGTGTCAAGCCCTGCTTCGAAGGTTTTCTTTTGTGCAATCACGTGATATCGCAGGGGCGTGTGACACTCTTATCCTATCACACGTAACGAAGCTGTGGATAAGAGTGGGAAGGGAGACTTGGCCAGTTTCCTGTACCTGCGACGCAACTGTTGATCACGCTGTCTAATTGATCGGTTTGCTTCATGGTCCTTCATGCTACCCACCCCCAAACCTTTCTCTCAACCACTTTCAGCAGCCGCGCGTTTCATTGCTTGTCACTGCAGTTGCGAGTAAACAATTTGTTGAAACACCTTCAACTCATTGGATCTTTCACCGTGCCGTTCCATCACCACTTTTTCCTGGCAATTGAGTTAACTGAAAACCAATGTCGAAGTGTGAGCCGCTCAGCCGTCCCACATGGGTGCTGGGTGTGACCCTCCGCAAGGAGGCGCTGTTTACATACCGGAAATTGAGCCACTGAATCATCTTCCTTTCATTGACTTTTCCTCATTGATCTTTCTCTACCCTGAATTCACTGCTCATACAGCCGTCGGGCTATAAAACGAATTTGCCAGCCGCCGGGCTTAAAAACGGCTGTTTTCCTCCCTTCCCCTCCCTTCCTTTCCCCCCCCCCC